CATGTGACATACATAGTGAGCGGTTTATACTGAAACAGGGGGCGAAATTTCAGATCTGCTGTACAATTGTTGAAGTGTACAACGATTTATAAAGCTTTTTATCTGTACCGTACCCATGAATGATTCGGCGCCTTATCTTTATCCCTCTTTTGCAATACTGGACTCTGACCTGGAGATATTTTTGCAGTTTCTATCTTCCCAGCCTATTTATAGGAATTTGTTCACTCTGAAATTCAAGTACTTGAATTACTAGTTTATTCATCAAATGGATAAATATCATAAATCTGACGTTGGGAATTGAGTGGATGGTAGGAAAACATATGTGCAATAGTTATAGAAAGAAGGGATGGGTCAATCTGCTTGGTCTATGTAATATCAAAGTCGGGGTGATGGGTGCAGTGCACGTGGTGGGTCCTTTAAACTAATCTGATTGCTTTGCATTGTTCTGTTCTTGTCTTGCTTTGTTCATATTTTCTCTCTCTCTTTCTCTTCTGTCTCACTTTTCCACCATTACTTTGAATGGGGGTCCTACTCCTTTCTCAACCAGCACACAGAATTTCGGAAACAGACTCCTTATCATTTTAGTTCATCTGATGTTCCACAAACAGATATACTTCAACTTTACTCGTGAGAATAAAATAAATTAATAATAACCCCAATTATTGTTATCTTCACATGAATTCAGCCACTCAACTCTGATTAAAAAAAAAAAAAAGAATATTATAACCAACCCAAGTTAATAATAATGATCATTCATTGGGTTCTTGTAGATACTTTCCCCAGCGAATCTATATAGCCACTAATCAGAACTGTTTTATATATATATATATATTATAGAATTCTGTGTTTTGATGTCTTAAACTAAAGGAAACCAATTCATTGCTTAGTTTAAGTCATTGATTCCATGTTCAAATTTTCTACTCAGGCATGATGCAAATGAATATACTATTCTGGCTTTGCCCTTTTCTTCAATGGGAATTTAATTGAATATTGGAAGTTTAGATTCTTGATGGTTGAGACAGCCGAGACGACAACATCCCAGAACTTTTAGTATGGGGATGGAGGTGGTGGAAGTTGAAATAGTGGTTGAGTCTCTAATGATTGAACCTGATTTAACAACAAAAGGTCAAGTTAACATACAGCAAAAGCACCACAGTTTCACAGCCAATAAAGCCAAAACCCTTTAACAATCCTGGTCCTCCTCTTATCATGATAATCGTGCAAATGATAAACCCCATCCATCAATTATTTCTTCTTAGATTCGTATACTCAGTTGAACTCAAGTTAAGAGCTTGTTTTCTATGTATTATTTTCAAGGGGACCATCTTGATGTGTAACTGAGAAAGCAATGAAGATGGTTTTAAGTATAAGAGCAAGTATAGGTAGGTGAATTACAGCAAGTATTTTGATTATTAGGAGACAATTAGACAAACGATAATGATGTTAATGACTAGAAAATAGAGGTCAAGGATGATTAATAAGGGTTTCTGCCTATAATCAATCTAGTAATAAGCACTTAAACTTATAAATTTTCTTAAAGCAAAGAAAACAAAAATTGGGAAGGAGATATATATATATATATATATATATGTATGTATGTGGAGTTTTCAGTGTTATTAATGGAAATGACAAATGATTGGTACAAGTGGGAGACTGGAATTGGGTGGAAGGGGAGAAAAGAATCCTGGATTGGGCAGGAGAATGCATGTGGGTTGCCATGTGAAGAGCATTAAATTTTGAACAAACTCAACCTCCCACTAAATTTTTAACACGATAATGGAGAAAACAAACAAGACTTGGCCATGTGAGAATCATTGACCTTCAGAACAATGGATATTGAGCTAAAACCCATGTAGGAATGATTATGCACAGGAAGTTTATAGATTAAATAAAACGTTTATTTAATGATCATACGATAAAGATAAGGACCCAACTAAACTAAACCCCATCACAATTATATTAAAATCCCCTAAGATTCACTAGACAAAGGGTAAAAACCAGGTGAATTTTATTTTCCTTTCTTTTACAACATCAATTCTTAATGGCTTGACCTGAATTCTCAAGCCGAGTCTGAGCTGAAGAAGTTCTTTTTATTGACTTCTTAATTACATAAATAATGAAGATGGATCATCAAAAAAATAACTTTGCATATTCCAATTCTGTGCCTGAAGGAAGAAAGCCAGTTTATAGTGGAAATATTTTCATGATGATGTTGGCACCAATAATTTCGCTACTTTAATTCATTTATGTATATGTTTCGACACAAAATCCCAATTCTGAGAACCTAAATTCATTACAATGAATGCAATTTAGTAGGCCATATACCATGAACGAACGCGATCGATGACCAAATATGCTGAAAAAAGGAAAAAGTGAAGCTAGCTGTGTCATTTTGAATATCCATTCTCATGGCAGCCTTTTAGATAAATACCCTTCAACCTGTGACCCCGCCAGACATTAACAGTAAACTCTATAGTGGCCACTGGAATTGCCGGACATCTACCGAACAATTACTCGCATATTTGGCTCGCGTGACTATGATCTATTAGCTTTACGTGGTCGATACTTGGACGTAAGTTTGTGGCAAGCTGATCAACGAGAAAATTGCAACCCCACATGCATTCTCCCTCTCGGCCATGGCTTGTCTGTGGACCCGTGATTTCGAACATACTCAGGATAATACTTAGACTACAGTTAATGGTCTCACGACAAGGCCGCACCTGCCTAGCCAATGCTTCAATAAACGCTTATATTCGTCCAAGTTCAACTGTTCTTTGTTCAAACTAAGCATGCATATAATAGCTCTTCGTTTATCAGATTGTGCAGTATACAAAACAGCTTGATTCGTTTTGATATGATTTGATGGGTCTGTTTTATGTTTATATATACTAAATTGTAGCCAAGAGATGAAATTGACCTCGGTCTAATCAGCAGACTGCGTTAAGTTAGGTTGTATTCACTAACAAACAAGGGATTAACAGGAAGTTAACCTTTCATCAAGATAACGAGTAGAGATACATTTAGGCAAATGCCATGTTTTGTAGCCTGTAATTACTCTGTTTTTGTAAAAGGTAAGTGTGGTGTGGTGCATGTAAAGACATGCAAAAGTACCTTAATAGATCGTCAAATGGGCCATGCGAAGATTTTGTTTTACACAGATTATCACCTTTAATGAATTATTGAAGACAAGCAATACGTCAAAGACTTACGTTGTACTTGCGTGGATTGTTCATTCAAGCATCTCCTTCACTCTCTGTGTACAAACTGACCAAGCAATGGCACATCATTTTTCTTCAGAGAGAGAACTGGTTTCAATAATTAATATCTGGACCTTTAAAAGATCTTCCAAATCAGAGTAAGTGGAGCGTTAATTAGGTTAACAGCCAATCTCTGACTTTATGCATCATTAGTTGGTTGACTTATCTAATTATGCTAGTTACGAAGGCATACAGAAAAGCTTTAAGCTTCTATGAATGATAGGCCCTTTTGCCTTGTTTGATTTGCAAGAAAGAATGATGGAAAATAAATTCCTTTTAGGACTATTGCACTGATCACTGATGACACTCAGCTACAAAGGTTTACTGCAACTGTACATAATTATAATGGTTTAAAGCTTTTTCCTGAAACCCTTTTTTTTTTTAATTAAATCACAATCTTCATCCTGTTTTGACATTAACAACGGGATAATAAACTATTCTCCCATTCAATCTTTAAACGTGAAATGATTGGCACATGGCAATGACGCCCTGAAATTAAGAAATTTTCAGCTCTCATCTTTGAAGAAACAATGCATCTTTCGGATTATTATAACCTTGAACAGATTTTCTTTCTTATTATAATAACAATTATCTGAATTTTCAAATGAGGCTAATGAAATTGCCCAATTATAATTCGACACAGGGACTAATTCCAAATTAAATCAACATGATTAGAAACTACAGTAAGATGAAGGCAACCATGTATTTTAAGGGGTGAAAGTAGCCCTCAACCAACCACAAATTATTAAAAAAGAGTAATAATATCTCTGAGAATCATTCTTCAATAATTGATAGCTTCCATTTTAATGATCAGTATCGTGTCATGAGAAAAAAAGAAAGATAATTCTGCACATAAAAATGTCTTCGCCGAGCTGCTAATAAAATTCTGCAGATAAAATATACACAAACATTTGATTTGTTGAAGATGAAAGTCTTAATGTTTAAGTTATAGAATAATAATAATAATGATAATGATAATGTGAACACAATGAGGCAGAGAAAGAGGCCAAAAAAACAAGCATCCGCATATGAATTTTGACTAAAATAACTTGAACATACCTTCTCCTTTGAAAAAACATGTTCAGATGTTCTAATCATGCCAAAAAGTTGTTACCATTATTGCACAACATATTGAAAGCAAGCTCTACAAACTTCTTGTCAATTGCTTTCTTGTGTCACATTCAACTGTCGTATGACTAAACAATTCTTTGTTAATTAATTTTCCATTTTCACCCATCAGAACAGTTCACTGGAAGTGGAATCTGTTTCAGGAAAATGACACCAATGAATGATTATGAAACAGAGTTCTGTTTAGTTTAAAACTTAAACCAAGGTTTATGGCTGTTTGTAATAGTTATACATTAGAAATTCAGAACCCTCTGATAAATTATAGGCTGTTGAACCACCCAGGCCCTGTTGGTCAATAAAGTATTGCAGTGATGTTGATTCTATTAGTAAAATAAGTTGATCCATAATATGAAAGTTCAATTAATTAATACACAACAAGAACAAAATAAACAAAAAAACAAAGCCTTCCCAAGCCAGAGCCGAAAAAACTCAAGCCATTTGCAGCCAAGTTTAGCCAAAGACTTGACAATTATCCCCACAATACCAACCGAAAGTAACTGTCAATCAAATTAAAAAGAAATAATAAACTAGCATAACAAATGAAAAAGCCCCCCTCGGTTGTGTGTTTTAAATGCTAGAAAGGGCCAATTTTGAGGCCCCCTCCGACCAGTTTGTCTTAAATTCCACTGCCCTATGTCCCTTAGAACATGGAGGAAATTATGGAAGTTTTCCCTAGTCTAAGCTCTCTTTCTCTCCCAATACCAACCATATAAGCTCTCATGCAACACCAAACACAATACTTAGTAGTTAGTTCTTATACCAACAAAAACCATCAAACACTTGTGAGAAACTAGAGCAAGAAAAGAAACCCACCTTTTCTAGCTCCACTATCATCACTGTCAAATCCAACTATAAAAAGCAGCCTCCTTTCACGCTTATAAAACAAGTTTCATCCTCTACATTACAGCCTCTTCAACCAGTTGAGAAAAAACTAGAAAAGAAAAGATTATCAAATGGAGATTGAATCAGTTAAGTGTGAGTGTTGTGGATTGAAAGAAGATTGTACCCAAGATTATATTAGTGGAGTGAAGGCGAAATTTGATGGGAAATGGTTATGTGGGTTGTGCTCAGAAGCGGTTAGAGATGAAGTTAGTGGGGGGAATAAGGCATTCGATATGGAAGAAGCTGTGAAAGCTCACATGTCATTTTGTGGTAAATTCAAATCAAATCCTGCAGTTCGAGTAGCTGATGGTATGAGACAGATGCTAAGAAGAAGGTCAGGAGACTTGAATTCATCACCTTCTTCCTCTAAGAAGTACACGAGATCGGCGAGCACAAAATTGTATTAATACTAATGGAAGTAAAGGGGAATCTAAACTCTTCTCCTTGGCTGAAATAATATTAGTAGCTAGCCTTTCATGTCATGGCTAACTGTCAGCTTCTCTTGTACAGGGGATGTTATTTCAAAGAAGCCTTTCTTCCCAGTTCTGTTTTTGTTTCTCACTAGCTACTTGGTATACATGACTATGTTCTTCATTTCTTCTCTTCTTTTCCAGGAAAAAGAGAGAAATTTTTCCAGAAAATCTTAACTTTATCAAAACCAGCCTTGAAGGGATAAACAAGAAAAAAAAACCCTTTTCATCCTTCTCTTATCTCCAAATACAGGCATTTCTTAACAAATACTTGATTTAAAAATTATTTCTTTTTCTTATTTGAAACAGCAATGAGTTTTAATATTTGCCTGTTCTTATTTTCTTTTCTTTCAAAGAAAATGAATTTTAATGCCGGTTCGCATACATAAAAGGCTGAGTTTTCTGATTCATTTTTCAGTTTCTTCTTCTTCGTTAACATATCTCAGCTGAGGATGATAATCTTTTGAGTTTAATTTAAGTGCTAAGTGAACTGACCATAGAATTACAAATCTTTCCGTAAGCCAAACAATCTAATTTACTCAGCACTCAGAACAAATTTAGAGGAAGAAATTAGATTTACTGTGTTGAAACTTGGAAAGAATCAATATGATTAATCAGCACTGCTGCCAGTTTTCTTGTTGCAAAAGGTTGTTTGAGAAATCAAGAAAATCAAGAACAAATCTCAACTTTTTTATATTAAAAATACTGCAGTGTTGGTCAACTCCCCACTCCAAATGAAAGGGCTAATCCAACATTATGCCTTGAGCATCAATTATTATTTAAGCTAAAATATGATTTCCTTTCCCCACTACATGTAGTGGTTGAGTAATTTTATAAAAACTTTCTGCAACTATTCATGGTTTTCTAATGACAAAATGCAAATCGTGTAATGATAAAATTTGCAAGTCAGAAGCATTAAAGTTTCTGTATCATCAATTATCATTAACTGACAAATCTTTCTATTAGTCTCTCCCTCAACGTTTTGTCTGCCAAAAGGTGTCTGTTTCTGTTGCCATCCCCAAGGGCCAAGGCAGCCAAATGAAGCAATAAGCAAATAAATTGAGTGCAAGAAAGAAAGAGTAGGTCCCCACATTAATATATCATTTACCAATGCCTGATTTCAAGAGTTTGAGAATTCCACATGCTTAATGACTACAGGTTGCTTTGGTAGACTAATTACAGTACACCGCTAATTAAGATTCAATGGGATTAGTTGAAGACTTGAAATGCTAATTCAGAGTTCGGCATTTGTTTAATCAAGTCAGCTAGATATGTGATGACTGATGAGTTGATGTGTAGATGCGCCGTGCCTATTTAGACCATGGATGAGTTTTTGTCGGGTTCCAGAATCAGATTCTGAGGCATGAAATTAAAGGGTTTCCGGAGAAGTAAGCATATGTTAAAACCTCGTAAGCAGATTCCATGGAGGAGATAAATGCAGGGCAGGCAGTCCCATCCGGGGTTGGAATATAGAAGGTTATGTATTTTGTGTGGCGTCTTACTTGCCATCGAACTCTTCCACTCTTTGTGCTGGTTAATTTAGCGCCATTAACCGATTATACGAATATATTGGTGGAATTTTTTTTATGCGGTATATTTTGCTTTTCCCAATAATGGGTTGATTGATACAAGTTCTCATTAAACCCATTAGCTAAGATCAAATTATAATGTAATTGATACAGGAATATTAATAAGAGGGGAAAATCGTAAAAATCAATAGAGGTATCAAATCATCCGCTCGGAGGTGGTCGAGGTGGGATGATATGGATTATTGAGTGTATTACTCTAGAGGTCTTGAATTTTATTTTTCTTAATTGTTAATAGGAGTGATCACTGAAGGGTTTATCCGGTCATTAACTTCAGTATCCTGGGAAAATTGTCGAGGTGTGCACAAGTAACCCAAAAAGACATTTTTATCCCTGATGCAATGAGGTTTTTGTGCAGGGTAAAAGTGTAGAAACAGATCTTGTTGGGTCTGTGAGTTGGAATAAATATTTAGGCATGCCAAGTAATTATCCGTTATGTACATTAAAAAACGAAGGCCATTTCAGTCATTTACTCTTTAAACTTATCAGTTACTTAAGCTCTTAAAACCAAAAGCAAATCCTCACCTGACCGTGCTAAATTTGACCGTTGGGTTTTCAAATTTCAAAACCCTATTGCATCACAAAAGACAAAACAAAGCCTTGCTATTTCATTTCAAACAGAAACTACACAAGCACAAAGGAGGTTTTAGCCATGAAAACAGTAACATTATCATCTTGTTCTTCTTCTGTCAAGTCAAGCACCACCATTACCACCATGGAAGAGTACCAAACGGAAAACCCAGACAGCTGCTACTACCCTGGATGCAGAAAAGACGCTAATTGCAATTGTGAAATTTGCTTAGCCAGCATCAATGCCACTCTTGACCTAATGCCTTTCAGCACAAAAAAGAGCTCCTTCACCAAACTCTCCACTTCTCGTCCGCGAGATGTAGAGACCACTCCAATCTCCTTTGATCCTTCTTTTGTGTCCACACCCAGATCCTGTTATCGCAAGATAATGGAATCTCCTGCTCTTAAATCAACTGCAAGATTGAGTGTCAAGGCTTTGGAGAAGAGAAAGAGTGAGAAGGGTTTTTGTTTTCCGGGTGTTTTATTGAGGTTGGTTTTGGTCTTGAGCTTGTTTGTTGCACTTGAAATTGGGTTTTCTTGGATGGTGTCTGGAGTTTTGAGGCCAGTGTTGTCCCCTGATATTGTGAGGAGTGTTGGTGAAAGGTCTTGCGTTGTTCATGACTTGAATGGGAGATTACGGTTCTTAAAGAGTGAGTTAGAGGGAATTGTTCATGGCAAGGTCTCAAATTGCAGCTATAATGATTCTAAATGGGAAATTAATCAGGTATTTGATTAAACCTTTTTCTGTCTTCACAATCTCTCTGTTATCTTGTCCTCTTAGATGAGATGATTATTAGAGCTGTTTTAATAAACTTAATTAGCATGTAATCTTGAATTAATTTCAGGATGGTTTACTCTTGAATTCACGTTGTGTATTGTATAAATCCGCAACGGAAGAGGTGAGCATATGGGGATGGCCTTTGCAGACAGCAGGGTTGCTCACAACTGGATTTTCTTCTCGGTCATTCACTATATTATCTGGTAGAGTCACTGAGGTAAATCAAAATATTTCTTAATTTATGCTTATAAAAATAGCGTAATTGCAATATGTAACAATATGATCTCTGAGGAAGAAATTTTCTTAATTGAATTCATTAGCTACATTCCTACTTGGCTTCATTATTTTTTGTTCTCTTTTTTATGGCTTTCTAAAGTGGCCCGATGGAGAGGTTAGATTTTCAATTAGAAAGGCAAACACTTCATGGATGCTCGAGAAATGGGGCGCTTCGGTGATGCAGCTAGATCCTAATACATGGATTCTGGAGTACAGGCAGAGTTCAATATTGGACAACTCAAGATTGTTTTCAGCAACAATGGAGCTATTGAAATACAGGATTTCAAGATGGATAAGAAAGATGAATGAAGAGCTTTGCCTTTTTTCTGCTTTTAAAAACCAATACAGAAGATTATTTATGGCGCGAGAGCATGTCAAGATACCAACTTAAGAGAATTATGGACATCAGCCCGTTCTCATTTCTTGTGAGAAGAAGTATTATCATTTTGTTTGGTATTTTGAGAACCATTTAATTCAATCTTTAATTAGTTCTCTTTTATGTAGTTTCGGTAACTAGATGCTTTAAGCAGAGATGATTTCAAGCCCCCTATTTGATGTCTCTAATTAATTGTATATGATGCAAAACTAATCCAGTATCGCAATTTAACTCCACTGGAAAGAAATTGATTTTCTTTTTCAGTTCTGCTAGATCCTGCAATACTTACATTGTGTGATTGCAGCTTCAGTAATTTATAATGAAAGGCGGTATTTACTAAAATCACCATAGGCAGAGTACAGCTGAGAAGACCTCAGATTTGCTCATCCTTTCACTTTTCAATGTTAATAATGAATTGTACATGTTTCATGATTTGGCGGTGCTAATACACTATTTTAAATTTTTAATCAGTAGTCGAAGTTTGTAAAAATGAGGTCACCAGTAGTCTTTACAAGAACACACACCATCTTTGTAATGGTGAAATCTAGTCCTATCTCTAACTATAATCTCCCTCCCATACACCTTTGAAACCAGCTTTATAAAAGTATGACAGTCCTCACAAACTCGCAGATTCTTAACAATGCGAATACACGACCCTTTTTCTCCACTCAACAGCCCATAACAAAGTGCCAACTTCTCACTGTGCCATAGAACTACTTCATTCTTTTCTTCCTCCTCTAAATCTACCAAAACACTACGGGTATTAGGAGCATAGCCAGCCAGCTTCAACTCACTAACCACCTCATCTAACTTCTCATAAATCTGATTTATTTGTTTATGATTTCTATCTGCCATTAAGAACTCATGTACTTCGTTGTTCATTTCTATTCTACTGCATCCTTTCTCCTTAAATATACCTCTCTGCTTCATTACTTTCCTTATCTCCCCAACATCTTGCCACCTTCTTTCCTTCGCATAGATGTTTGATAATAGCACAAGGGCACCATCGTGATCTGGCTCCAACCGGAGAAGTTGTTTGGCAGCAAACTCACCTAATTCAATCTCACCATGAACTCGGCAAGCAGCCATCAGTGATCCCCAAATGACAACATTTGGTGCCAGCGGCATTGTCTCTACGAGCTCAAGAGCTTCTCTCAAGAGGTTAGCTCGGCCAAATAGATCTACCATGCAACCATAGTGCTCATGTTTAAGAGTGATGCTGTGTTCATTAATCATTGATGCAAAGATTTTCTTCCCCTCCTCAACTAGCCCTGCATGGCTGCAAGCGTAAAGCACACCCACAAAAGTAACCCCATTAGGCTCGACATTTTCACGTTTCATTTGATTGAAGTAGCTTAGTGCATTACTGGCATCTCCATGCACTGCAAAGGCGTTGATCATACTAGTCCAGGATATCACATTTCTTCTCTGCATCTTGTCAAAAACTTCTCTTGCCCTTTCCAGACTCCCACATTTTGCATACATATCAATAAGAGCATTGTTGACACGCAAATATCCTCCAAACCTATTTCTATCAACATATAAATGGATCCATTTGGCTTGATCCAATGCACCAAGATGAGCACAAGCTGATATGACACTTAGCATGGTGACCTGATCTGGTTTCATTCCCACGACTTGCATTTCTTTAAATAACTTAAGTGCTTCCAGAGGTTGATCACTCTCAGCATAACCAGAGATCATTGCACTCCAGAAGACCAAGTCCCTTTCAACCATTTGGTCAAAAATCATGCGAGCATCTTTAATCCGTCCAATTCTTGAATACCCAGAGACCATAGCAGTTGCGACAACCAAATTCTTTGGCCACATCTTATCAAACAATTCGTTAGCTATATCCATGCAACCACAACTTGCATACATAGTAACAAGCGCACTCTGCAAATGGGTATCAACAACAACATTATTCTCAATAATTAGTTCATGAATCACTTCCCCATAACTTAAATTTCCAGCACGACCACAAGCAGATAAAATTGTTGAAAGAATCATCTCATCTGGCTCCACATTAGACCGCTTCATCTCTTCAAAAAGCTCCAAGGCGTCATCAAATAGCCCACTCTGACAATACCTATTTTCAACATTCATTCAAAACAACATTCAAAACACGAACACAAAACACAAACACAGCCACAAATCAACAACATCATACCCATCAATCATGATACTCCACGTAACAACATCTCTATAAGACATTTTATCAAACAACATTCGTGCATCTGAAATCCGGCCACACGCAGCATACATCCCCAAAAGACCCGTCTGCACAAACGGGTCAGAATCAAACCCCAACTTCGCTCCTAGGCCATGAACCTGCATCCCCTCGAACAAACCCTCCATCCGAGCCGCAGCCTTTATTATAGGAGGAAAGCTGAACCTGTCAACATTGAGTCCAGTTATCAGCATTTTGACAAACACCAAGAAGGCGTTTTCGGGGCAGTTGCTACGCGATAATTTGCGAAGAAACTTATTGGAAAAATGAGGTGGGGGAGACGGGAGTTGGGAAAAAACGGAGAGGGCATAGTGAATAGATGAAGAATTGGTGGCAGGTAAAGAGAGTGAAGTGAGGAGGAGTTTGTAAAGGAGGGAGTGGTGGTGAGACTGGGGGAGTTTGAGGATTTGAGAGTGGACTTGTTTGAGGTGAGTGAGGGTGGTGCAATAGGAAAGGGAGGTGAGGACAGTGGTTGAAGTGGTGGTGTGGGTTATGAGAGGGGGTCGGGTCAGACTGGACATGGGTTGGAAATTTGGACTGCAAATACGTAGGGAAGCTTGGTAGTTACAGGTGGTCGGGACACGTAAGTGAGAACTCTTTTAAATTTGTTAAAGTATTTAGCAAATACTAGTTGTTAGATTTAGGTTAATTGTTTTTCCTTTTTAATTTTATTTTTTAACCACTGGATGACTCGATGGTAAAAGAATAAATAAAAAGATCCATAAACTTTTGAGTTTGAGTCCGCCACTACTAGTAGCGGATTCAGGAATTTCTTTTAGGGTAGGTCAAAATAAAAATTTATTATACATTACTATTTTTGTCTATTAATATTTTTTTTAGGGTGGGCCAAAATATATGAATTTACATATTAATATTAAAAAAAAAAATTTGAGGGTGGGCCAAAGTGGCTGGATCCGCCACAGGCCACCACCATAATAATTGTGATCACTAGGGTTTTTACTCGATTGACAATTCTAAGACCTTGTAAGATTAATTGAGGTATGCGTAAATTAGTCCAGACACCTCCAACAATAATATTTTATTTTTTAAAGTAAAATAGATATATGTGATTTATGTAATTTTAATTCATTATGAAATTATAACTAAAAATTATTAAAATGGAGCTTATTTAATTAATTTGTAAGGTTTGAATAACACTATCTTATAAATAGAAATATAGTTGAATAATTTCATTTCTTCAATAAATGTTTTAAGTGATTTAATATTTTTAGATAGAATAATTATAAATATTATTTTTTTAACCATAATATCACGAAATTTATCATGACCATAAGTAGTCATAAAAATACTGAAATTTTGTCCTCTAATAATCTACCATTAAAATAAATCATTTATTGTTAATTTTGATTGATTTATATTTAGTTCTAATTTGATAATTTAAATAGAAAATTATGAAAGAAAAAGAATAAATTTTTTTATTACTATTATGTCTTCATTTAAAATTAAAGGCCGACGAAAAAAAAAAAAAAAAATCACTTCCCAAAAAGTCATCAAATTAATAATACTTGGGCCCAAATAATAACTGAGTGGGTAGCCCAGGAGCAATGGGCCCTTAAAGGCTGAAACAGTGATGCTTACTTTGGGGTGGTAGACTAGAAACTAGAAACCAACACTCGTGATTCGTGAAAACACCGTTTCACTGCATCTACCCGCTTCAAAGGATATCTAAAATTTTACAGAAACAGTTGCTGTGAGGATTAATGGGTGAAGTTTTGTTTGACCTTGAACAAGTTCTCAGGAGCAAACAGGTTTTTGTTTCTTCATTATTTATTTTTAGGGCTTTACGTCTCAATACATGTTTGCGTTTTTAATCTGTGTAATCTTGGCAATTTTATATAAGACATTAACAATAAATTGCATAACTTCACTTTATCACCCTAATTTCTAACAATGGTAGCTTTTTAATTGGGTCTATTATAAATTATTCAAAATTCTATTCTTTTTCATGTGTTTCAATTTCTTAGGCCTTGTTTGGTTATACCATATTTTAAGTTCTTATATTGATAAGATCGAAGATTTTTTTTTTTTTTCCCTTCTTATGGAGAAGATGATAAATTGGTTTTGGCTCCATAAGCAAGAACATTGTTTTTGAGAATTTGTGTGCTAATAAGATCAGTCTTGTAACTAGATTAGATGTTATCATCTGGGATAAATGATACATTATAATTCGTTTCTTGGTTTTCGAGGAAGAAAAAAAACGTCATTTGCAATTTTTGCTACCTTGTGTTCTGAAAACAAATGCTTTTCTAGGAGAGGTTGACGCCTGCAGAAGCAAAGGTTCTTCTAACATACAAGTCTAAGGCTGTCAGGGAGTTTACGGCTGGTGCACTTGTAGGATCTGGTGTTACGTGGTTAGGTATGTATAATTGTTCTTGCTTTGAGAGACCTGCTAGTGTTATGTTATACATTTCATCACCAATCCAGAGACATTTACTTACATGTGTATGCGCCGATTTGATGTCCTTATATGCACATAACTTTCCATTTTATTTTGCTAAAATTTTAGTTGGAGAAGTGTCTATAGAAGCTGCTAAGTTAGGTGTCACATTAAGCTTTTTGTTTCACAACCTGAAAATTCTTCCCCCCGCGAAGAATTCCTCCACATTAAGCTGCTAAGTTGGTGACACATCAAACTTATGTTGTATATATTGTTTGTAATCCTAAGACAATTTTATCCCAGCCCTAGCTTGCTACTTAGCATAGATTTGTGTCCAGTGCAGTGGATTCCTGCATTAAACCCTAAGTAGGTTTTATAAGACATTCATTTGCTATGTTGAGATTATATAATTTTTGACGATGACAATAGTTATTCCAAAATTGCTTTAATTATTTCTAGTGATGTTTGTCTTATTATTATTATTATTTATTTTAATCATTTTTGGAGCTATTGAAAATCTAAGATTGGTAGTTATCCTTGTGGAGTTTATTTAGCGAAGCAAGTGAAAGCCACTATATCCAGTTGAAAGAAAAAGAGAAGAGAGAATAAATTGATCTGTCCAAACCATTGAATTCTTCATTAAACAGTCAAATCCAATGGTGCATGTATTTAGACTATAATTTATTGCTGGGTCCAAATCAGTTGTATGTTCAGCATATTATTCACAAGTGGTCAATGTGATAGCTGCTGGTAATTAATTCTTTCTTATATTGTTGTTATGGTGATTCTTTATCTATGGACATTCCCAGAATCTCAATTCTCAAATCATTTCTTTCAAATGGCAATACTTTGATTGTTGGTTTCTTTTCATCTTTAACTTCCAGCAACTTTCTGATAATTTTTAAGCCTCCCTTTCAGCAACATGGAGGCTAAATAAGTTATTACGAGTCAACCTTTCAGGAGGTAAGAGATCCTTCATTCAAACAAATCAGAATTACTTCAAATCACCAATGCTGGAATACATATTTCCTTGCCTCTTTTATATCTTCTATCTTGTCCTTTGCCATGTTACAGAAATCTTTCCTTCCTGCAGGAGCTGCTATTGTCTGTGGATTTTGGAGATTTACTAGTTCCCTTGAATCATGCGTTGATAGTATTCTTGGAGTAGATGGAAGTCGGCTGCAGAAAGAGTTAGCGAACATGTAGGTTTCTCTGTTTGTTTGCTAATTGGTGGTGAAGTTTTCTACCCTTTGTACCTTTCATGAAGGAACTTCTACTTTTGCTGTTCATGAATCTTGTTTTCTAATGTTACTTATCTGTGCTTTATTTTAGTAATCTCTCCTTTTTTGTATCTGTGCTTGATAATTTTAAGGTATTGTTTTCTTGAGAGGAACCAAAAAATTTGTTGTGGAAGATCACTTCAATTATGAGAATTGTAACCATAATTAATTTTATGATTAGCTGAGAGATATTTTCTTTCTTGTATTCAAAGTTGTTGAGTCCAAAAATCAAGCGTTTTGATCTGAGTAACGATTTAATGCTCTTTTTTATTGAATTTCATCCATGTCCATTAAAGTGCTATTGAAGTTAGGTGCAGTCTTGCAGGGGTGGTTGCCCCTTAAGCTTGTAGTGTGTTACCAGGACAACCTGTTATAGTATTGTCAGATAAGTGCCTGTAGTTTGAAACACACGTGTGTGTTCACCCTAGTTTTTTCTATTTCTTTTCTTGTTTATTCATTTCACAATACCCAAAAGTTTTTAACTGATCAAGACACTTTTTTTTTTTTTTTTTTCTTCACATGTCGTATTAGATAATTTTTTCCTCAAGGTTCATTTACAGATTGGAAAGAGTTTATGACATTTGAATTTGCAGTGATTCACATTGCTTACATGTTGTATTAGATAATTTTTTCCTCAAGGTTCATTTATAGACTGGAAAGAGTTTATGACATTTGAATTTGCGGAGATTCATATTGCATTTCACATTTACTGTATTTAATAATGTTGCAAGATCTGTATTTTCGGTAATCTCCAAATATTTCCATTTCTGTTTACTTTTGGCATGACTTTCTGTCATATTCATGAGGGAATTTCAATCAACAGAATATTCAACAAATACCGAGATGATCCTTGGAGAATGCAGCTTATCTCTAAACATTTTTATTCAGAGAAAGTTTATGATGATTCAACCTCAGATCAGCCAAAATTAAGATGGCGCTACAAGAACTATTTTAATGATAATGTTGCTTATGGTCAAAGAACACATGAGAGTGACTCTTATGGTGACTCCGATACTGACTCTCGCAACAATTCCCACAATGAGGCCAACAGTGACTTCCAGAATGACTCTGGCAGCAAAAAGAATGATTTGGAGTCTAACAAAGTTCTTGTAAGTATGCTAGCTGCCCAAGACGAATTATTGTGGGCATGATTTATTTATTTTCTTTCAGAAGAGCAATATATCTGAAACTTTTTCTTTTTTAAGATTTGCTGCTTTTCCCTTAAAATTTTCTGATTTTGATTTGGGTCACTAATTTTCCAATATTCAACTTTGGTAACTTGATATTTACATGCTCTGTTTGTGTGGCGGTACTTTTTCTTGGAATAATATTGTTCAATATAACCATTGGAACAAGTTATATCTTTTGACTGTGACCAGGGATTTCAAGCACTTGGATTGGAATTGTCATATTTCCCTATATTCAGTTTTGCTTATGACAAAGACGAGCACATTACTCTGCGAAGTGGAATAAATGCGATTGAAATTATGAAAAATATAAAGAATAATCATACAAGGAAAATTGAACTTGTTATACAAGCATACCATGGAAATGAATCTGGTCACATAGTAGTTGATAGAAATGTTCTGTTTTCTGTGGCACTTCTTAATAAATATCTATTAACTAACCAATTTTATTTTTTTCAGGTGAAACCTGATGTTGATGCGGTTATGGATCCTCTAGATTGTGTTTTTGGCAATGCGGCAACAATGGAGGAGATTCATCACCCTAATAAATCAAGCACGCCTACCAGGGTACTCTCACGTAACCATAAAAGATCTCATCGGCGTCGTCGAATGCGCCATCATGAAGGTTCCCTGGAACCTCATTATGCGTAAAGAGACCAAATTGATTGTCATGAACATCGAGGAGGGGAAACCAGAGAGAAAAAGTTGAAACATCAACATCGACATCATTGAGTTTGTGAAGGTTACGATTGCAAATCTGAATGTTGAACCTTTGTCAGGTACATTATTGTCAATAAATTCCTTCCTGTTGGGGTGAGATTGTCTATTGAATTTGTTGTCAAACCAAATATAAAAATGTTCTCTGGGGCACTATTTGGTTTGTTGCTTTGTGCACGGCTCTAGTGGGCTAGAACATAAAAACAAAGAAAAGCGATGTATTTTGTATTTGTCAATTACTGATGCGAACCCGACATTTCTCTGAAATCTACGGAAGAGCTGATATTTGTGATCTTTCTCAACATTTCTCTATGGCCTTAAGTCTAAAATAGGTGATTTTGTAGACTGATCAGATACGTTAAAAACGTAATCCATGGTTTGTGCTTCCTCATCCACTCGATCAAGAGAAAGCAATCTAGACTTTGAATCCATTAATTTGCAACCCTTTTCTATAATTGGCCACTGTCTGTCTGTCTCTGTCTGTTCTCCATTTACACGCCTAACAAAAACTGCCAATAAAAAGGACAATGTTATAGACAAAATTAACCATTAGACATGGATGGAACACAGTTGTAAATCAGGATTTTCTTCTCTCAAGCTTGACTATGCCTTTTCTGCCACGGGGATGGGCAAAAAATAATCAAAGAAAGTTTAAATCAATCACTCTTTAATCAATTGACCAGAAAAAGGTCAGTGTTGTGGTGTTTGTCGGGTCATATTATTGCATATTATATTTGATGGGTTATTTTCTCGGATGATCCACCACCTTCCCAAGGCGGGAAAAGTTGCAGAAGCTATTTCCTGCATTGACCCTACCCTACCCCTACACGCGCTTGGCAGAACTAAGAAGAAGACAAATTTTAGGCAAATCCAAAGTAAACAACACCTCTTCCTCCTCTTCCTCGTCCTTTCTTGGAAGCTTCGTGCCTCTTTGCATTTGCACCTTCATTTCATTTTCTGTAAAAAGAAATCATTTTATATTTAACATTCCAAAAGAAGAGTTGTTTATTGAGAATTGCCTTAAAATGTAGTGTTTGGGAGTATTATAATTTATAAGGTTCAAGAGTTTTTTCTTTTGATTTAGTTTGTTTTATTGTAACTCTTAAAATTACATATGTATTATGTAACTAGCATTAATTTATTGACGATTTAATAGTAAAAGAGCAAATGAATCTAATATGGATTCTTGAGTTCGAGTTTTCTTATGCACTAATAGGGATGATCATTGAGAGGATTTATCCGATCGTTTATTTCAAAGCCTTGAGAGATTAGTTAAAGTACGTACAAACTTATTCAGACACTTCGAACACAAAAAGAAAAAAAAAAAGACTATTAAGATTAGTAGTTAAATATAATTAACATGATAACGGTTCAATAAAAAAATGTTTGTATTATCAATTGTACATGGCATGGGACATGGTAGAATGCACGAGAGATTATTAGAATATTTAATAACAAAGTATACTCCATTAAACAATTCTACAAAAACCATTTATGGGTTTTCAAGTAGGGACATGACAAGAGTTGGTATAATTAGTTTATACTTGCATGGTGTGCGATCTAGAAATTTGGTTAATTATTTAAAAAAAAAATTATAAAAGTTAATGAAATCTAATAGGTATATGTGATTTATCATAACTAAATATCTTTTAAGATCGCTTTCATTTTATCCAAAATAAAAGGGTTATTGCTAATGCTAAATGCTAATACTGTGCAAAAAGCTTGACTTGGGTTTCTTTTCTGGGTCTTCTCTGTTGTGGCTGTGGACGAAGTTGCCGTAATTTTCTCTTTACGCGTATTTGAGAGAATCACTTTATGAACCTTGCTTTCTGCAACAACTTTGTTTAATTAATTAACATTAACATTTCATCCAAACTTTTTTTTTTTTTTTTTTAATCATTGAAGTATTTGGATTAGTTTACACACACCTCAATTAATTTTTAGAATCTTGAAATTATTAACTATGTAAGAGTCCTAATGATCATCATCTCTATTATTTAGTATACAAGAAACTCGAATTCAAGAGCTTATAACTTTTTTTTTTTTTTTTGGTTTTTTTTTACCACCAGACTATCAAGCAATGTGTAGACTTAAAAAAAAGTGATAAGTTACATGAAATGGTCCTCCCTTTAAATGAATTCAAGTATTTATATGGAATATGATTATATGTTTAAAATAAATGATTATATTGGACATAATTTATGATTGAAAAAGGATGGTTATGATAATCTGGATTGTTCTACATGTAATTATAAACAAAACCAGCAAGAACAAAATTGCGAAGAAAATGAAAACTCAAATAACATACGTTAAAATGGCATGGCAAGAAGGAAATTTCCAAGAAGCAGAGGGGCAATAACCTCCTTCAAACCTTCTCTTTATCTGTTCACTGATTCCCCCTTAGGCCTTACCTCTGAAAGGGAGATTTCATTTCATTTCCTTTCTTTCATATTCTTTGCCATTGCAAACACTAACAAAACCAAGAACTTAATACCCAATACTCAGAATATATTGTTAACAATCCTCTTCTCTTCAATTTTTTTTTTTTTTTTTAATTATTTAGCCTTTAGGGTTTTGACACACGCCATTCCTTTATGATTTTGCCTTTTCTTTCCTGCCATCACAATCCCATCAAGATTTTGATTCCATCCCATGATAATTCTTTGCTTTTCTTCTCAAAGATAGCATCTTTCTTCTTCTTCTTCTTGTTTATATCTCTCTTTCTCTCTTCTGGGTTCTTGTTATCTTTGAGGACTGTAACAGACAACAACAAATTACTACAAAGCTCGGCAGCCACCACAGCCATGAAGGTTTACCCCGTCCCCACAAAGAAGAGAAACAACATCACCATTCAATATTATGATAATCAAATTGATAATAACAATTTGAGAAACCCACAAAATCTTTCAACTGGGTCTCACAAGAAGCTCCGCCGCTTGCCCCATATCTTTACTCGGGTTCTTGAGCTTCCTTTCAGGTCCGATGCTGACGTGGCGGTCGAGGAGAGCCCGGATTGCTTCAAGTTCGTTGCCGAGACCGATGGTATCGGCGAAGTGAGGGCACATATGATCCAAATCTATCCTGGGGTCACTAAAATCGTTGTTAGGCCAAATGGGTCTGTGGAGTTGTCTTCGTTGGATGAGCTGGAGCTGGATATGTGGCGGTTTCGGTTACCCGAGACGACCCGGCCCGAATTGGCGAGTGCGGTTTATGTGGATGGGGAGCTGATAGTGACAGTGCCAAAAGGTGGGGACTTGGAGAGTTTGGAGGAGAGAGACGGGGGTGGTCGTGGTAGTGGTGGTGACGGTGGTGAAAACGGGGATTTTAGAGGAGGTATGGGAAACAATAGGCTTGTGCTTGTACAGTGATACATAGTGATCTTTTTTATGCTTTAATTATGTTTATGTTACATTTAATGTTGAACTTTAGCCTGCAAGTTTAGTTTTTGAGGGCTTTTTATGGTTAATTTTGCTTCAATGAATCGGAAATGTTGTTTTTGTTGCATGATAATGGCAATGGAAATGAAGATGGTTCTTTATTTTACTTTTTGATGAGCTTTTTTCGTCCTCCTTTTCAGTAGTTTAAATGGTCTGGCTGAATTGTGCATATGATGTAATTTTGTTTGTGTAGTTGGAGTTTTGGACCAAAAAAGTTGAACATTTCTGTCATTTGCTTTGTTGCTGCTTATTTTTTGGAGTGGAAAAAAAATGGATTACAATTATTGACAAATTAGCTGAAGACTGAAGAATTGTTTTAGTTTCAATGGAATTGTGGCTTTTGTGGTCTTGGGTTCCTGATGATGAGAAGCATAAGATACAAAATGTCTAGTTTGTGTCCATCCCTTATTTCTTCTTTCTTGGTAATTGATTAGATCGTTGCATTTTACTTTGAAATCCATATAATTGATTCCTTCCTAGGTCCTATGTTTTTTACCTACTACTTTAGATTCTTAGTATTTAAAGCTTTTTTTTTTTTTTTTCTGTATTCTACCTTTTAAGAAGATTCATTTGAGAAAATATGGCTGGTGAACAGCGCTATTTGACCTGTTAATTCCAAGAATTGGTTCCCATGTTACTTCTTGGTTAAGAATTAAGATATATGCTTCCGTCTAATCTTTGGATTTAAATTGTTTTAGCATACCATTTTCTTTTGGTGCTTAAGATATTCAATATCATGCTTTGCAGACTAATGATAAATTATATTATCTGTGGAGTCCTTTTGGTCCCATTTGCTTCATTCATCTGGTAATCAGTCTTCTAGTTGACACATCTTTTTTTTTTTGTGGGAAAACTTTTGTAGATTTTCTCTCTTAATGCTTTTGATTGACCTACTGATCCACATACCATCTGGGTATCTTTTTGTTCTTGTTACTTTTCGTTTGAAATAATAAAATGTATTCTTACACATTTAGTCTTTATTATATAATCACTGTTAGAAGTCTTCTTTATGGATACAAGAAACCCATGTATCTCTTAGTTTTACACCGAATATAGTCCTCCTAGCAGTTTTTCTGGATTTGAGCTCAAATTATCTTGTGGTGTTGAAAAGGGGCTCAGATTTTACTTTTCTAAACCTGCTTTTTCTCTTGCCTGATTCTCATAAGGTTTTCTTTGAGCATACTTTCTATACATTTAACTTTATCTTCCAAAAGGATTTTAACATTTATGGCTACCTACCTATGCTGTCTATAGAGATTATTGATATGATTGTGTTATTATTATGAACTAAAGGAAGAATACCCGTTCTTATTCATCACTTCTATGTAAAGCATTAATACTTATTTGATGGATCCTTGGTAAATTCGTTCATGAATGGGAGACCTAGATAAATCATAATCCTCTATTTTGATGGTTGAGAAATTCCCATAATTTTTTTTTTTTTTGATTCTTTGTTCTGCTCTAGAGATTTTTTTTAAATGTTTAACATGTTTTGAATAAGTTGCCTTTATTCTATTTTAGGCACCGCATTCTTGCCATTAACCTACGGAATATCCAACTAAAAAAAAAAAGGTTTTTCCCTGCGTGATTGTTGTTTTATAATAGAAAAATTGTGTAGAATGGAACTTTTCTAGTGGACAGTGAAGGTTTGGTTAGGCTCAGAGAGATTACACGCTTCCTATTTGTTGCCAGCAGAATATGTTTGGATGTAACAGCTTTGATGAAAATTGAAAATAATAGTCGACTGTATGGTGTAAAATATTTGACTTACGTTTTTCCTAAATCCTCCTAATATTATATTAACATCATGTATTCTCCTCTCTGCATCGTTCATTGCTCTCTCACCTATAACGTGGTCCTCCATTCTCAGCCTTTGAAGTTCCGGGACTGCACTACATACGAGATGCCATCTTTTTCGAATCTTTACTTTATGGCCTATTGAGCCTCCATATCGTTCACAACTCTTTGGACAACTGAAGGTGGACTAGAATTTATTCCCTGCCTTCAATTCTTTTGCAGGGAATTGCGGCCGCACTTTTATCATTATTAGTCTCTAACACAAGTACAAATATTAACTTATCAGCAATGCTACAGTTATTAAGGGTGTACACCGAATAACGTAACAAAATCTTGATCGTTGATTCATTATAAATTAATATTGATCAACGGTCAGGATTTTACTACGTTATTCAGTACACAAATTCGATGTATAACTTTCGGTAACTCTATCATTTTCTTTAACTTATTTCCATTGCGTAATCCATTGGTAAATGAGTGGAGCACTATAGGATAGGCTACTCACCATTTTGATCTTGCATCTATTATTACTCTACAAAATCTGCCATAAAAGAAACCATCACAAAAATATCTCCCAAGTATATTTACAGGGCTGATAAATAATTTGCATGTTATGACGACATTGAATATTTTTTATATGCAATCTCCAATAATTCGCTCCAAGGTTGCTGTGAAATCACAGGATATTGGCGTGATAAAAGCCTCTAACCATAGACTGACTTAATTAGTAACCACAGTATAGAAAAGTTATGCCGTAATTCTCAAATAAAGCCATTCCATAAGAGATGACAGACTCATTCTACAAGCATTGTGACTCACAGATCAGCAGTTTTAAGAAACGTGCGACTAACAATAAAAATAGGCAATGTTACACTTACACCCACCTACGACAGGTCATCCCACTAAACATCGAAGCACAGCCCTCTCATTGGTTCTGTAAAACTGCAATTGTGCAACAGTTTCTCATTTATACAATTTCCTTCAACTACCCATTACAGAATGACTACCGTTGGTTAGCAGAGCTCTAATCAAGAAACAAAATTTCAACGAGGTCAACTAAAGGCCCTCATTGGTTTGCCAACAGACTGATACAACCATCAATTAAATATGGGTATGCAACACTCCGTTCACTTCAGTGGAGAATCAAAACGTTTGGACATCAATCAATGGGATTTTCAGCTCCCTTTCTGTTGCACCCCACGCCGCAATCTAGTGTAGATTGAAATTTCGTACAAGCCATGAGATATATGCTTAAAAGAATGTAACGGTGATGAGTTCTAAGCATCAAGAAGATGTTTCAACAGTGAAGTTTGATGAATACGTCTGACAAAGTCGATCCAGCAACCACAAGGATTGTTTGTTTTTAGTCATCAATCTCCAGATCATAGTGTTCCTCCAGAATTTTTTTTGAGGTCCTTCCAAATCCTTTGGCCACTTTTTCCATATCATTGAATACCATGACTTGCCGTTTTATCTGGTTCACTCTGTTCAAGACAGCATTTAATAGCATATCCGGGTCGCCCTCTGACGTGCGATGTGCCAATTCGGACCTCTCCTTGTCAAGTTGCTGGTACAGATTGCAAAGATAATTCTTCTGCGCATAAAGCCTTTCCTCTGCCAATTTATATTCGGTTTCCTGGGACTTTTTCAATGCTTGAAGAACCTGATCAATCTTTTCCTCAAGTTTTTGAGATTCCATCTGTTGATCAGAATATGTGGGCATGGTTTGCAATGGGCTTGTTCTAGCATCTACAGGATCTTGGTTGGTTGTAAGGTCTAATGTGGCATTTTCATCATCAGAGACACCTGTGGACAATAAAACAATGATAAATTAGCAGGGCAGATAAGGGTGCAGCAGGGGCGGGGGCGGGGGTGCAGCAAACCCCACAGAAATAAATAAATAACCCAAAGCAAGGACCATGTGTAAGGGCAAACAAAATATAGGATTCTTCTTTTATAATTATTATGTCACCTAGATCGGCTTGTGATAGCACAAGGCTGAACCTGTGATTCTTAAGAATTTTTCTTTAGTTGCTATTGACAGAAAAATGCATAAATAAGAGACTTCCTAGCACCTGAACTTCCTTTAATTTCCACACTCTCTGAAGTACTTTGTATACTTCAGTTATATGCATTCATATTTCAGCTAAATTAAACCATTCTATACAAAATACCAAACAAATCTCACGAAGAAATTATTTGGTAATTTTATTTATAATGAACCTGAACATTACAATGACATGCATGTACGACCATAATTTTCAAATTACCTACAGTATCTAAGAAATGCACCTAAAGTGACTCAATCCAAAGTCATAAAATGCATGGTAAAACTTGATTTTTCTTATCATGGACCATTAGAGTTCGGGGCGTTGTACCAATGGCTTGGGAATGGGTAGAGAAATGCTATTATTTGTCTAAATTAATCCCATGGAGATATGTCAGACCGTAGGAAGCAAATAACACAGAATCTCCATCTGAGACAGATAAGGGAGGACAGAAAGGGTATCAAGAACTAGAAGGTCATTTCACTTAGTCCAGAGTGACAGTTTTTTTATTATTAAAAAAAAAAAAAAATAAAAAAGCCTTTATCCAAGTCAAATTAATTACATTATCAATTTCTCAACGAGCATCAAACAACATGGATTTGTTGGTTAGGATAATTGCTATCTCAACTGGGATATAAGATACTGGACCATTACCTGTAAAAATGGCCAAGTCAGCATCTTCAACTTTCCAGATATCTTCAAGAGAAGTCCCACATTTAAGCTGATGTAAATATTACACTTCAATGGGTCATGCCGCTGGTTTAGGAACCCAAAAGGGGAGAAGGATAAACATGTGCAAAAGCAAGAAAACAGTTGTTCTTCTACCTTTAATGTATCAGCTTTACCTTACGAATTGCCAGTTCAATACGGCTTAGCCATTCCTTAGCAATGGTCTTTTCTGAACCACGCAAAATACAGACACCGAGATTTAAAATTTCCTCAACATCAACTGAGGAATCAACAGATTCACATATTTTTACAAGTCTTTTAACATGTGGAACCAAATCTGTCTTTGCATCACAGCGACGGCATAAGTACTCAGCATCCAACCCAATGCTTCCTCCAACAGTCCCAGCCATGTAACAACGCAGAGCACAGTTCAAGTGAGCAATGTGTCCACATATGTAATCCTCACCCACCTTTGCTTCACATTTGATGTAACTGTAGCCCCCATATTTCAAATTCACAGTTTTGCTACAGAGAATACAACAACAATCACGGCAGAACCGAGGTTCGTTGCAGCAAATATCACAAGGCATGGCAGTTAGAGATGAGTTTTCTGCTTGCACCACCAAACTGTTGCACATATTATTTCTGGCCTTACAGCCCACATCCTCTGATGGGGAATCAGGCCGAGAATGTTCTGCTATCTCTTCAGAAAATGCAGGAAAAAGTGTTCGTCCTCCTACATTACCTATATCAAGTCAACATTGATGGGCAAAGAAGAAAATTAGATGTAAAGAAAAGGGTATTTAACTTGTATCATTAACTACAACATCAGTCATAACAAAAACATGCAATAAATAAATAAATAAAACATGAAAAATATATGCAACTACAGACAATCATGTCCAGAATGTAAAAAAGAAAGAAGAGGTAAAAGGGTGAACAGAAAAACAAAGCAAGGTTCTGAGCAACAGTAATTCAACCAATTGTTCATTCAGAAGTGTATGTAACCACCTTGTTCATCAGGTAATATTTTCTGCGTTATGCCGCCTAAACTGATTTCTTATACATAATCCAATGTCTTGAATACACAATGTGGGTAATTTTGATGCATTAAATGCTTTCGTAGGTTATTTCATTATTTACACTTCCATCATATCACTGATGTCATATTCTACACACTAACATGCTTTCTGAGAACAGCTTTAAAAAGCATTGAGCAATTGCATCTAACCATATAAAACCAACGATAATCAAGCCGGCACATATTCAATGTAAAGAAATACAGTAGTATTTAGAGCTCACCATTTACTGATAACTTCTTTATTGCAGGGATCTTCCAGCTGAATGAGGCAAAAAATTTATTGACGTCTTCGTGAGGAAATACTGTTCGAATATACCGTTCAACAGAAAGCTTGCTTGCAAAACCACTTTTCCTACTTGTTGAGTCACGACGAGGAAAATATTTTGGAGGATACAGGTATCTATCCAGATAATGGCCGGTTATGGCTACTCTCCTCCCCACTTTCCAACGCCAGTTATCACCAGGTTTTGGCCAATTTATAGGAGCATACGGCAAACCTTCCCCTGACTCCTCGGGTGAAACTGGCCAAAGATCAATACCATTTCCATTTCCATTTCCATTTACCCTAGGCACCCTTTCGATACTTCCATTAGTATTATCAACACCCATCAATTCCATTTCCAGAACACAAGTAGTTAGGCCTGGTAAGCTGTAATACAATTCCATTTGGAAATCATTAGCAGCTAAAGATATTGACTTCAAGCACAAAAATCAATCTGATAAATCAGAACTAGTTTCTGATTGATAAGAACAAAACCTGGTTCTGCAAATAGCATCACACCCAAGAGGATGTGCTAAATAATTCTTATATTCTCTTACACTCTGTTCGATTGCACACAATCAGACTAGGAATTTTCAAGTTATTCTTCATCATTATTCATTTATTTAAACAGAAGATTTATACATTTAGTTCGCTTAATTAAATTATTGACACAAAGATTCCTAATTTATTATAAACAACCTAATTAGCATCACCAAAAATGTTCAGGAAACATTTCTACAACCTCGATTAAATCTCATTTTGAGCTAAAAATTTACTCTTTATATTCGAAATATAATTTTACCTTTAAAAGAATAAAGCATGCGAAGATCAACGAAAGAAAACACGAATTCACCTGAGAAAACCTTAGCTGTTCAAAGACAGAAATTAGGGTTTCGACCTTGAAGGAATAACCTGTTTTATTACCTGCTAAGGCATTAAGAGAAAAAAAAATTCAAAATTAAACAAAATAAATTAATCTTGAAAACACTCAAAATTAATAAAAATAAAATAAAAAAGGAGACCTATTAAAAACAGAATGGAGCGTGTGCGACGGCGACAGGTTGCTTCAACGACATTGTTCGTCGAACAGGGACCTTTTTATACCCAATAATGGAGCAATTACTGCACTGACAGTTTTACCCTTGTCTTTCACTCGCCGTTTTTACGGATTTCTTTTTGTCTAAATTCACCTCCGGTTCTGGTTTTATGCTCACGCGCTTAAAAGTGTGACTTGTTATCGTTTATAAGGAAGTAGATCTGATTGATTTTAGAAATTGAGGGGTAAGATTCGTTTCGCAATACCTAGGGGGTCAGAATGTGATTAGGCCATTATTAAACTCTAATAAACAGTGAATTAAGGTTCCGAAAAATTTGATTACTTGAACTGATAACACACTGAACAAATTAGGTGAACCGCATTTAACATAAAACCCCATGTTTCGTTCGTTTATAACCTTCATATATGAATGATGTCCATAAAATTTATTTATATAATCACATGAATTTAACATATTTATGCTATTTTTCATGAATTATAAATGGGTATTTTTCCAGCAGTATGAGACACCATGATTCTTGATTTTTTTTTGTTTAGATGTTCATGCATTGTAAGACTCCACATAACATAGTAAGATAACAGTATTTTCAGGAATCAGTTGGTCCATAGTGAAGAGTTTCCAAGTACATCATAATTTAACACGAGATGGATGCATAGCAATGAAATCAAAAGTTCCATCCACAATAAAGCTATAGCAACATCATCATCAGAAAATCAGTCTAAGCTGCAAAAACATTAGCTGGATCTACTTTAGCAACGACTTCTATCTCTTGCTTCCCTGCAATCATTTTCTTCAGCTTTCATTCAGGATTTTTGGAGTTTTAACTCAACTTGATTCGGTCATCCCTGAGTATCTTTTGCCACCTTCTGCTCAGCAATGGCTAACTTAGCTATTAAACCCTTCTTAGTCTCGATTGTTCTTATAAGCGTTGCTCGCTGGGATTGAAGCTGGGCAATTTGCTTATCAATTTCTTGGACGGCTGATAAGTTGGAATTTATTTCTGCCTGAAGCTGCTGGGTAAATTTTTCCTTTTCTTTATCGAGGGAAGCAACATTGGCCTCATTGTGGGGGACTGCAAAGAAATTGTCAGCATGCTTACATTCCCTTGTTCTAAGAGTGTAAGATTTACCAAACATGAATTTCAGGAATAAAAATTTATATATGGCATAACTGACACAAATTCATCTTCAATCGTCATACACAAGCAGAGATGAATCCTAATTGAAACCTGGCTCAAACATAATAGAATAACTATAACAGAAAAGGGATCATAAGTTATATTGTAATCCTACTAACTAGAAAAACTTAAACTTATATGAAACTATCCTGCATCGAACACTCAATTGATAACTAAGTCACAAACTATGCACTTAATGATTTCTAACCAATAACTGAGTTTGGGGTAGCATCAACTATAAACTCTAATAAACTTAATTGAAACATAACTTAACTAATCGATGTAATATGTTTAATTAATTATTAGGCTTTTTTCTTATTTAGGATTCCTCCAAAGTTGAATAACTCTGTTGAGATTTTAGGTTTTTAGAGAAAAAATAATATAAGTAAAACCCATATAAAAAAATGAAGAAGCTTACTTTGATTTTGAGCCAATTCATTTTCTTGGGCAAGAGAATTACCGGTTGCAGGATGGGCAAGATTGTCAACCAAAGAATCAAGATAGTTATTGAAGTCCTCAGGCACACATTCAGATGGCGAATCGCTTCCAGCAAATGAACCATTGTCAGGTTGATCATCCTCAAAGTCAGCTGTGCTCTTCATATCTTTTCTTGGACCATTTGATGTTAACTCTTCATTTCCATTTACTCCACTTGTATCTTTAGTAGCTGGGACTGCCTGTCGAAGAGACTGTCGAGTTCGTCGATCACCTAATGATTTAGCTGCTGTATGTTTCCTTTTTCTATTCGTAGCAACAGGGTTTTCTTCTTTGCCTTCTTCTTCAGCCTTCTCTGCACTCGGCGATGTAGCATACACTGCACTCAGCGGGGTAACATACATTGCACTCGGTGGGGTAACCTTCGCTACACTTGGTGGTGTAGCTTCCACTACAACAATTATTAGGGATTAAAACATTCCAGTCGAATTATTAAGGCAGAGATGGATATCTAATAAACTCAATACCAAATATAAGTGCTAGTGACTTGTTATAATAAATTGGATAATTCTCAACTCCTTTTAAATTTGGTCAAAATGCTCTTTTCATGTAAATAGTTCAAAACTTTAAACGCATATATTACAATATACGTTAATAAGGGGACAAAAAGAGAAAAAAAAAATACATTACATCAATATGTTCTCTCTAAAAAAGCAGAAGAGATGTTAAAGTCAACCCATTTCCTAGCTTAGGAAGGTACGAATTAAGTAGCAATAGAACTAAACAAAGTATAGCGATATATCTCATGAATCATTTCAGTCATGAGATGTCAATTTTTTTTTTTTTAAATAACAAATTAGAGTTCTTCAGATGTCAAATTAACAAGATCTCTTAAAAAAAAAAAAAATCTGCACATGGCTTTATCAGCACCACTTTTCAAACTTTGATAACTTATTATCCAACCCATCAAGCAGTTGATTAGGCAAAATCAAATAAATTAAGTAAAGCAACTTAGATCTTACAGTCCTTATCACAATTTTGACATATTATGAACTAAGAGAGACAGAATATATAAATGAAAGAACAGGGAACTCCACAAATTGTCAATTCTTGAAAAATAGATATATCATGCTAGAAACAGAATTAAAAAATATCCTTGCAACCAAAACTGGAGTAACCAGACAGACCAGTGAAACAATCAAACCACAAACAGCGAGTTAGAAACTTCACCAAGACTAAGGTCATATTACAAATGCTGAAAACTTGAAATACGCATCTTATGCCATCTGAGGAAAGGTATTGACATTATTGTTTTCTTCCGAAGTTATGTTGAGAAGGAATTAATGTCATTGAATCTTATTGTATTTTACATTTTATCAGTTCCAACATGATTACTTCAAATCTAAATAAACATAAATGTTAAAATCTGTAATATGATTTTCAACTACAGAGATCTTAAAAGAGGGCAGCAGGAGTCAAGTAAGGTGGCTGCTCTCAAGAAGTTCTTTTCAAGCTATCTACATCAACAGTAGAGCTCCTTGGGAATTTCTCTACTAAGTATAAATTTCAAGAGCAGGAACTGTCAAAACCACAGTTATTCCACTGAGCACAAACTAATTTAACCCCTAAAGTAAAATTACTTTTCTTCCAGATAAATTGAGTCCAACGTTCATCAAATTTTGTATGATCTATGATAAAGACCCTAAATTATTAGCACTCTAAACTATACATACACAAAATATACCAGAATACACACACACACCTCACATAGAAAAACTTGCAAGTTGAAAAATGAAAATCTGATTTTCTTAGATAATAGAGAAAAAATATAAATATAATGGCACAAGACCAAAGCTTGAGCTGACCTCCAGTTAAATTCTTCAGTGCAGGGACCTTCCAACTGAAAGAGGCCCAAAATGCATCAATGTCAGCATCTGGGAATTCAGACCGAATATAACGTTCAACTGCTAGCTTGCTTGCGAACTGTTTCGGAATGCTGGGCTTGTGAAGACTTCTTGGAAGATACAAAAATCTATCAGTATAGTACCCGAAAGTGCTGAACCTCCTTCCGACCTTCCAACCCCAAGTATCACCAGGATTTGGCCAATTTGTAGGAGCATAAGGCAAACCTTCACCGCTTTGAAATGGTGGAACGGGCTCCAAAGGATTATTCTCCTGTACCCTGCAAAAATTATTTCCATCAGAGATACCGTTCTCCAAAAACTTGTCATCCTTCCCACAGGTAGCTGGTGCTAGTACATAATGGCAAGTGACATGGAAATAGGACTGGCAACTAAAGAAACTAAAAACTCATCAAAAAACAAGAAAAGCACATTGGTAGATTCACATATAATTCAGAAACATCATCAAAAAACCAAATTTCATCAAATTGCTTAATTCATGTTTCGGATTTGCAATATTCCTTACAAAATTTGAATAAGTTTAAATATGTCATCTGTTTTGGCAACATAGTTAAACAATTAATTAAAGGAACTGAGAAGATATCTGTTTGCCAAATCTCAAATATATTCTTCCTTATACGTGTCTTTAAGCCTTAACTAAGCAATAACTAAATCTTTTCAGTTGCTCAATTATTTACCGATTCAGATGAGGACTACAAAACTTCATGGAATTAATGCAAATACTAAGCTAATTATCAAACCATGATTCAAACTTCTTACACAGTGTCACTCACAGAATCTTCTTTAGACATATCCTGATAACGTCCATTTTTTATCTTATCTATGAACTATGATAGACCCGAAGCCTTTAGTGTATACGAATCATCCAAGTGCCTCTCCCTAATGGAGATGGCAGATTTTCAGCAGTGGTCTTGAGAGTGGTTTTGACAATAAAGTAATTCTTGTAACTCATGGTCTCTGAGCATGAAACTCACAAGACACAATCTTTTACTGTAGGTTCTCAATAAAATAGCAAACAAGAACCATACAACTAGGAGAATTTGTAGATCAAGCTAATATATGGTGACAGAGAGAGTAGAAATCTCCTGTCTCCTCACATACTAAAGTCAAAGCAACCTTTATTGGAATAATAGAAACAATTCATAATATATGCATCAACTTGTTCATTCTGGACTCTGTTTTCCCTACATTGTCCAACTGACAAACCGGGCCTTGACCATCCAAAAACCATACTTTATAACACATTCTTCCCCAGCTTAGTTCCAAGTTACTTTCCTTGTGCATGCTTCCACAATAATGAAATGACCACTTTCTTAAAAACTATTTCCCTAGGGTTTTATAAAGATCTAGGTTGCCGACCTGAGAAACATGGATTTTCATCTTCAGATACAAAAAAAAAAAACCTTATTAAAGAATATTTTCCCTTATAAAACCATGCATGTTTCCGTCACAAACATTTGCATGTTCCATCTACTGTCCCAATTCCCCAAATAAAGAAAAATAACGATATAAAATTC